ATTACAATTATTGTATGAATTCATAACATTTCCATAGAGTCTGAGTTAAATGCAGTGAAAGCTGTGGTAAAGAAATGGCAGACAATAGAGAAGAATGAAGTGATATATGTTTGGCACCACTCGGAGGATAAGGACCCCAATCACTACCCCCACGATTTTCTCGGGAAAAACCATAATAATTTATCACTGAATGGGAGTTTTCTCAGACTTTTGGATTGTAACTATCAGGTACATTAAGTTGTCATTAATTTGTCGCTATTTTATGTTTAATATAATTTTAAAAATATAGTTTAATTGAATAAAATATAAATGATTATTATAAACAAATTTTAGTTAAAATGTAATATTAATAAATTTTATTATTGATATTAAATAAATCAAATAATTTTAACAATAATAATTAGCCACTTGCTTTTATTATTATAGTTTATAGTGGAGAATCTGGCCGACTTACAGCACTTTGATAGCTTACACCAGGTGCTCATACCATACATGGGTAGTATAAAATGGTCATTTGATAGCACGTATGGCACAGAGACGGAGCCTACAATCACGGGTAGATGTTCCATCTATTTATTAGGAGTGGAGTTGGTCACTGTACCCATTAGACTGTGTTACGTGTCACCAGTGATTGAGCTGACATACATGGGCACAGAGGATTCAATGTTAGGCACCGTATTAGTGTTGGCTACTGCTGTTCCATTGCAGCATGGTGAAACGTTGGCTCGAGTAATATTATTCTTTAAATCATCTATTTTCAGCAAACTATATATTACCGCATTTAAGTATATACTGAATATACAGGTATATTATGCACTGCATTTGTTGATAAAACTTTAAAGTTATTGTTAAAACATTAATTTTAAGTTAAATGACGATTTGGTCCGATAGCGGAAAACCTTCTGATAGTTTGGGGGAATATCATATACTAAGTTGGGAATATTTTAGAAGGGTTTTTATTAACTTTGTTGTAAATAATAACTTATTGTTATTAAATTTTATAATTTATCAATTAACTTAATTTACAACTTTATGAATAACAAAAAATGTTAGTGTAGGTCAGAATAAATCATGTATACTCAAATTGTATTATTTGATCAAATTTATATTTTTCGTTTATAGCTGGATTCGGATTCTATGATCTGGTTGAATTGTCAAACACCTAAGCGCCCGATATTGACCCGCAATGACGAGACAATTGTCAGGTATCGGCGCTTTTGTCAAAAGTTTTACACTAAATAAATTCGGGTTTGTCTTAATCTTTGACTAATTATATTGTAGTCATTATTATGACATCCAAAATATGTATAAATCAATATCCTGTTATTGACTTTAGTTATATGGAAATTTATGAATGTATTACATATTTTTATATTTACTATAATGCTTGCTTGCTGCTTATTTAAATGTATAACTTTTATAATTATATATTCATTCTATTGATGTACTACAAACTGCTAACTTAAATAAAATATATTACAAGCAAATTATACAGTGTATTCAGTGAAACTTATTTAATTAATATTAATTAGGGTTGTCTACCCGGCCAACTCTACAATATTATGTTTGATATATTATATTTATTTTGAAAATTTTATTTATCATAATAAATCTGAAAATATATAAGTATCGCAAAAAATAAAGTAAAATATAATATTTAAAAACTGTCATGAAAAAAACAAAATTATGTCAAATTGAAGCACAAATATTAACCATTCGTCACCCTTCTTGAGAGAATAGTCTTGTAATGAGTTTAAAACTGTTGGCTAAAATCAGCGGTAAATGACAGTGTTAAAAAATTTCAGCTATTCATCAACCAAACATTTGGGTTAATATTTAATTAATCAAAATGTGATTATCATGTCTGGTGTCCGAGCAGTGGATTTTCGAAGAGAGGTCACTACAAAGAGAGAGAGAGAGAGAGAGAGAGAACAAAAAGGGTGTGTTAAAGTAATTTATACATCTTATTATGCAAATATAATAATGTAAATTATATAAAGAGAGAGAGAGAGAGAGAGAGAGAGAGAGAGAGAACAAAAAGGGTGTGTTAAAGTAATTTATACATCTTATTATGCAAATATAATAATGTAAATTATATAATTAACAAATTATCATTAAAACATTTCGGTAAATTTTAAAATTTTAATTTTTTTAATTTATTGTTTGATATTTAATTATTCATTTAATACAATGTTAATAAATTTAATTATTTAAATTAACTGAATATATTTTGAATATTAATTATATTACCAATCAGTCTGTATAAGTGATTAACAAAATTATAATTGTCAGATTCGGTTTCATTTTGTATTTGGTTTGGTTTTTTCTTTGATTTTCGTTTTGGTTTTGGTTTTGGTTGTGGTTTCAGTTGTGGTTTCAGTTGTGGTTTCAGTTGTGGTTTCAGTTGTGGTTTTAGTTGTGGTTTCAGTTGTGGTTTTAGTTGTGGTTTCGGTTGTGGTTTCAGTTGTGGTTTCAGTTGTGGTTTCAGTTGTGGTTTCAGTTGTGGTTTTAGTTGTGGTTTCGGTTGTGGTTTTGGGTTTGATTTTGGTTTAGTTTTACAAGTCTTAAGATACTCATCGATAGGTTGACCCCCACTCTCACGTCTCCCCTCTTCTATACACTTGATATTAGTGTTAATAAACAAATTCCATTCACTTCTGGATATATGGTTGAGATGTGGTAAACATGTGCCACTTTTCACATTTGGTGGTATTCTGTGAAAACTAGTGTTTCTGCCGCCGACATAGACCGGCACCTCATCCAGACTTAGCAACTCTTCGCGCGTCATCTTCTTTCTTATGACATTATTACGAACATTAGGGTTAAAGAATTGCAGACCAAAATTGATTATGGTATGAAAAATTTGATCTTGATCGTATTGAATGGCCGACTGATTTCTATACAAACCCGGTTTACTAATCATAACTCCTAAATCGTACCAAGACGCTATTATGTTTGAGCAAAAATTAATTAATAGATATAGTAATTGCATTTAGAATAATATATGTAATTTTAATTAATCATTCTTACATAATATAATATTGTCAAGTGTTATATTCCTGAAACTGTGATACATCAGGCCATTGTTATTTTTGCGCATAAATTCAGCGCTCATGTGCACAATAAATTGTCTGTACAATTTGTCGAGAGCATTGTTATTAGTCAAACGCATACAACGACCCACATGGCCGTTAACGGGTTGACCCGATTTCGAGAACCCGAATTGATTTATATATCCGGTGGCAAAAAACTCCGAGGGATAGTATTCGGGCACAAATGGCTTATTTGTCGTATTGTATAATGAATTAGACTGTAATAACACTGACATTGGGTTGAAATTAGCAATGATTGAAAGTGGTGAAAGTTGATTTAAATTTGGATTTAATATGGTAGTAGCAGCCAGTTGTTTCACAGGATTAAGTATACCATTTTGGTTTAAAACACCATACGACGGTTTAATTATTTGCATCAATACTATTAACAATAATAATTTTAGCATTTTAGTTTAACATTACAGATTATACAATTCAAGTAAAATTCAAAAACAGATTGTGATGTTTAATTAAAAATAAAATGAGTTTTACAAATGCGATAATATCGGACATTTAATTACAACAATATTATTAAATTAATGCTACTTAAATACATTGTGTGCAATAAGCATACTGAAAACTATGTAAACTGGTTATTTCTCACCATTCGATTAATGAATTGTATTCAAACTTGTATAATAGGTGTCAATAAGATAAATATATCTGATTAGAAACATTCTACTGAAATATCTCAAGAAACACAAGTTATTGAGAAAAACATGTTTATATTGGGTAAAATATTTATAACCACACATTGCGTTGAATAGGCTCTACAGGTATTTACATACAACGTACATATTGCATAAATTATGTTATGTTTATATTATAGCCGAGAGATGGGTTACCCCAACACGTGGTTTATTGTAATGGATTCGCGAGAATTGCCCGTAAATCAAGTGAAGGCCTTTGAGTTATGCGGACAACAATTGGTGGCGTTTAGGGGGCCGTCGGCTGCGGTCCACGTGTTGTCCGCCTATTGTCCACATTTGGGCGCAAATCTCGGTGTCGGCGGACATGTGGTGACTGAGTCAGAGTCGGGCGACGACTGTATTCAGTGTCCATTCCATGGCTGGAGGTTTGGCGGAGACGGACAGTGCAAACGCATACCTAATCTCAACNATGTTATCTTATGAAAGATTATTTCCTATGGGAAAGCAAAATTTAAAGGGAAATAGTAGTTTTTCTCCATGTTAATCCTATAGGACTATAGTTAAATTTATGTGAGAATGCTTTAACAAAGGTTTTTATGGGATTATAGCTTAAGTCTACGACATATGCTCAACATGGGCAATGCTAAATATATGAATAATGTTAATTTTATGGGCAATGCTAAAGAACTAATATCAAATCGTTAGATCTTAATATTAAATCTCTAATCTATTCTTTGAACAATACTCAAATATGACTAACGCATAGCATTGCGTGTGATCCTTGTTTTCGTTACTGAAGGCAAGAAAGTACGGGCAACTAATAGATTAAGTGATGATACTTTATGTTATATTCTCAGTGTACGATCATTAAATAACATAAAGCAAACATTGATCATATTATTCATCATAAATAATTATAATAATATTGTATTTTGTTGATTATCTGTATAAATATAACTTATTATTTTTAAATGTTTGATTTCTCAATAAATTATTCGTTTAGAAATATTGAATTTATTTTCGCATCCTTAATTTTGCTTTCCCCCCATTATTTTTACCCCTTTGCCGAACGCTATCTATAACTATAACTATTACTATTAATTATTTGTAAATTAATTAAAATTATTGTATGAATTCATAACGTTTTCCATAGAGTCTGAGTTAAATGCAGTGAAAGCTGTGGTAAAGAAATGGCAGACAATAGAGAAGAATGAAGTGATATATGTTTGGCACCACTCGGAGGATAAGGACCCCAATCACTACCCCAAGGATCTTCTTGAAAACAACTATCAGAACCTATCACTAAAAGGTAGTTTCCTTAGACATTTGCGTTGGAATTATCAGGTACATTGAGGTGTCATTAATTTGTCATTTTCTATGTTCAATATAATTTAATTTAAAACAATATAAAATAAAACATAGACTATTATTAAATATTTACTAAAAAATTTATATGAATTATGTATATTATTGAAATTTAATAAATCAAATAATTATAACAATTATAATTATCCATTTGTTTGTAATATGATAGATTTTGATGGAGAATGGGTCCGACTTACAGCACGTTCATTACCTACACCAGGTGCTCATACCATACATGGCTAGTTTAGCATTTTCATTTGATAGCACATTTCATATTTTCGTTTGAAAATCTATACCAAAATATTAATTAAAGAAACAAAATGCATTATTAGCAGAAATATGTGTGGAAATAAGTTATATTTGATATAATTATTAGTATCATTAAATCCCATTATGACTGGTTTAATAAAACAGATTTCTATCCCATATAAACACACTGTTATTTCAGAATATTTAAAATATTTATAAATATAATTTAAAATTATATTTAAATGAAATATCTAAACTTTAATAATGTTAATAAATACGTAATAAACAGATTTCTATCCCATATAAACACACTGTTATTTCAGAATATTTAAAATATTTATAAATATAATTTAAAATTATATTTAAATGAAATATCTAAACTTTAATAATGTTAATAAATACGTAAAACAATTACATATACGAATTTCATGTTAATAATGCTTATATGGCTATAAATATATGAGAAATCGTTAGTAAATATAATTAAATATTTCAGATATTTTAAGTCCATATTAACTTATATTGAATATAAGGCCTGTTATTCTTAAATATAAGTTCAGTCTTTATTAATTATTATATTTTTGATATATTTATTTTGAATAATTGTTTTTACCATATTAAATTTGGTATATTAAATATTTATTTTTTTGTTATATCTTTGCTATTTGAATACTAATATGTAAATTATTGTAAAATATTCATATTTATATATTAAAAATTATTTCATGCAAAAATCATTTAATACAGTGCAACTTCTCTTGGGTGAACTTCTCTTGGATGAACACCTCCTCATAATGAACGGTTTTAAAATATAGGTTGGATTTCCTGTACTTATAATGTTAAAATAACCTCCCTTAGGTGAACTTCTCCATAATGAATACCTCCCCATTATGAACGGATTTATAAATATTAAGATAAAATTTTCATTCCCAATAATGAACAAATATAATAATAGGCACATTATTCTTAAAAGTATTCAAAATAGTTTCTAATCTAATACTTTAAGCAAACAAATAACACATTTTCATTCATAGTTTCATTCAATATTGCATCTTATAGTCCTATTTTATATCCAAAGAGGATTCCGATGATCAAATGTTTGAACAATTAAACAAAATTAATATTAAAGCATTTAATTATCATTTAAATACAGCTGAACAAACTAAAATTACTGATTATTTTTAATAATTGCTAGTTTATAAAAATTTTGAAATATTACTCAAATATAAGACATTTTTACTCGAACTTCCCTTGGATGAACCCTCTCCATAATGAACACTTTTGTCGTGCAACTAACCGTTCATTATAGAGAAGTTGCACTGTATAGAACTAACTTAATTAACCTAATTAGATTAAATTAAACCTAATATTTTTAAATATTAATTAACCTATCAACCATTCTGTATTAGTGAGTGAAAATTATAATTTTAAGTTTAGTTTAAGTTTTGGTACGGTTTAAATTAGTTTGGTTTGGTTTTGATTATACCAAAATAATCACTGTAAAAATTATTAATTTAGTAAAATTACCATGTTACATAATTATTTAATTATAGTATAACAGTATATTTAAAATAAGCAATTTAATTATTTATATTTTTTAAATATAAAATTAATTAATAAAAATAACAATTGTAAATGTAATTTTGTTAATAATATAAATAAATATTATTTATTTGTTGCAAAATTATTTTTGCCTTGGTTTGCTTTGGTTTTGTTTTTATCTGGTTTGGTTTTGGATTGTTTTGGTTTTAATGTAGTTTTATTTTTGCTTTGGGTTTGTTTTGTTTTTGTTTGGTTTTTATTTGATTTAGTTTGGGTTTTGTTTGGTTTCGGTGTGGTTTCAGGTCGGCTTTGGGTTTGTTTTGGTTTTGTTTTACTTTGGTTTTGGGTTAGTTTTGGTTGGATTTCGCAAGTCTTAAGATACTCATCGAGAGATTGACGTCTCGTCTCGTTGCTCTCAAGTCTCCCCTCTTCAATACACTTTTTATTAGCTTCAATAAACAAATTCCAATCACTTGTGGATATATTGAGATGTGGTAAACATGTGCCACTTTTAACCATCGCTGGTATTCTGCGATACCGTGTGTTTCTACCGCCGACATGAAGCGGCACCTCATCCAGACTTAGCAACTCTTCGTCCGCCAAATTCATGGGCACAAAATATTTACGTAAACTTTTGTTAAATACTGATAGAAGCACATTGAGTAACATTTTAAATATTGGGTGCGAATCGGATACCATGATCAACTGATTTTCCCATACACCTGGTTTATTAACCATAACAGCCGAGTCTAACACAGTAGCTATCACCTTTGAAACAGAATTAATTTAAAAAAAAACAAATTAATTGCATTACAATATTTGTAATTGTATTTAACCATGCTCACGTATTGATAATTTGCCAGTGTCATATTCTTGAAGCTCATATAAAACAATCCATTTTTATGATTAAGCAGAAATTCATAGGCCACGTGCACAATATATCGTCTGTACAATTTGTCAACAGCACTGCTACCAAAAATATTAGTTAAATGCATACAACGGCCTGATTTACCATGAACGGGTTGACCCGATTTTGAGATTCCAAAGTTATGTGTATATCCGGTGGCAAAAAACTCTGAGGGGTAGTCTTTGGGCACAAATGACTTATTGATGTACTTATTGGGTTGTAATTATTAATGATTGAAAGTGGTGATAATTGATTTATGTTTATTATGGTAATATTAGTCAATTGTTTCACTGAACCAAGTATTGCATTTTAGTTTAACAACTCATACGACGACGCAATCATTTGTACCAATATAATCAATAATAATAATTTTAGCATGTTAGTTTGACAATACAAATTATACAGTAAACAATACAAGTAAAATTAAAAACAGTCTGTTATTATGTCTAATTAAGAGTAAAATACGTTTACAATTGCAATAATATTGAACATTTTATTGCAAAATTTAATTAAATTACTGCTAATTAAACATATAAGAAATTCAAAGTTAGTAAATATAATATATACCAAAACTATAGTTGGTGTGGGATTTTTAATGATTACTTTATTTCTAATATTTATAATAAGAAGTGATGATGGTCCAAGTTATCCATTTATTGTAGGTATGAGAACATAAAGTCATATTGAATAAAAATTATGCTTTTTATTGGCAATAATGACAGTAAACTCGATTCACATTTGAGTTTAGACACAAAATAAATACGATTTTAATTTGTTTTTTTTTTGTAATTTTTAATCTAATTTAATGTTTATAAAACAAATTTAAATAAGTTTTTCAAACTATTTGTCTGCATCATGGCAGATTAATATAAATTTATGTTTTATTATTAATCTGTAATTCATTTTTCAGTTTTGATATTAAAAGTAAATAATTATTTAGCTCGTAGTTTTGAAATGACATTGTTATTTTTACAATTTATTTTTATTTATTTATACATACAGTATATTTAACAGTTTTATGTTTATAATTTTTACTATTTTATTCATTCTGTAAACAATTAAATCATTTAATGTGTTTTTTGCATTTTTAAATAAAGATACAATGTATAATCAATATATAGTTTTTTCAAAGTATTAAATTTATTAATGTAGATTTATTATTGTCTAGTAGTAAATAATCAAATAAGTTATTAAATCATTTTAATTTTATTAATTAATAAATAAAAATACTTAATTATAGTGTAAATAATATAAAAATTAAATGCACAACGGTAGCAAAAAATAATTAACACAATCATTTATTAAAAGCATATTTATGTTCATAATATTAAACTATTGTAAACTATTTTAACTATACTATTTTATGTCAACTTCAAAATAAAGTCAAATAATTAATTCTTACATTTAATGTTTGATTATTTAGAAACAAATAATTATTAAATAATAGTTTACATTAATTTTGCATTTAAAAATGTAAACAAACATTTATTATTATGGTTCTTTAATTTGTCAACAAGGTTGTTTAGTTCATTATTACGCTCAAACTGAATCTGCCAATTCTCTATAGTACTAAGTAGTTGGGTTGTGTCCGGACGATAAGCATGTTGGTATTGTATCATTTTAATTATAATTTGTCTCATTGGTTCGCTGTAATCATCAGATTGCTTGTTCCTGATAAATTAAAATAACAATTCAATTAATATGAAAACAATTTTGACGGGTGTCATATAAAATATTCCTATGCCTTATCTATTGTTGAAAATTATATTAAACTTGGTTCTTGGTGCTTAAAGAATGTTAACATAAATAATGATACCATTTTAGTAATTCTAGCTGCACTATTTGGCGTTTAATATTAGATCATTTAATTTTCATTTGAACTATTACAAAGTGTAATTAACTACAAACAACCACACTGTGTGCTAATACATTTCTTAAAATATTTAAATTAAAATTTACTAACCAATCAATATCCATTAATTTAGAAACAATCAAGCCCAAACTGTAAATATCGCCGCAGCGCTTATAGCGGCCATTGTGTGCCTCGGGTGCCATACTCGCACGGGTGCCGACACCGGGTGGGCCCACAACTGTACTGCCCGTCTCATCAGTCCAGCATTTGACTGCCAGACCAAAGTCACACAGTTTACAGAATATACCAGAACTGCCTGCGTTCGGGTCAAACAGAATATTCTTAGCTTTTAGGTCCCGGTGTATGTACGGGGGCTGACGGGTGTGCAGGTAGTGCAGCCCCCGGAGTAGCTCTATGAACATCTCGCACCCGATGTATCGCCGAACCCGTTTGACAAGCATTATGTCTAAAACCTTCGGTGGCTTATTAAAAGTGGCATCAATTTTTTGACTAATTTGCGCTAGGTTGTACGGACAATATTGCATTTGAATAAATGCGTGTTCCTTATGCTCCCAGTGCGATATTAATTTTACCACGTACTCGCTGGTTAATTGGCCCATTGTTTTGATCTCGGTCATATAATTTTCTTAAATTAATGTAATAAATGCTTGTTAACGGTTATTTATCTTAATATAAGGGTAATTATGTTTATTATTACCTTTTACCTGAATAATTTTAATAGCGTAAAATGTAGCATCTACATTATTAAATGCCCTGTACACATAACCATAGGAACCTTGACTAATTTTTACTACATTTGTATAATTAGCGCCGAGTTCACCCCAACCGTAATTATAATCGCTAACTCGTGTCGGATCAATAAAATGTTTTTTACTATTTATGCTCGTTTGGTTATTTGATAAACATGGTATATCTGCTATAGTTGTATGGGGTGGCTTGATATCTGATTCAATAATATCCTGGTTATTGTCACTATAGGTTTGCAATGCAATATTGTCAGTGAGTGGGACCGGGACTATATCGCTGTCGGGTGCCCAACGTTTTGTCAATACTTTAACCGATCGCCGTCTGTATAGCATAAAAAGTCCGATCATGATCACTATGACCACCGTAAATATAATGATGGCCACTAATGTAGTATGATCATTTATTGACCCATTTGTATTATTATCGGCTGATTTGTATAATTGGGTCTTCAATGAAAGTTCATCACGATTACAGTAGGAAACATCGTGTTCGTAAAGTGAGCATGCTAAGTCAGTGGCCGTCATTATATTACTCGAACTCCCAGTTGTGGCCCGACTGTTATGTAATTGGGTACAGTGCGGCTGTTGTAAATTAGCATGTTCAAATTATATATTATCTATTAATTATAATTATAAATATATGCAGATATTTAAATAATAAATAATATAATTTACAAAAATAGTCTACATAATTGTTACATAAGAAAATATTACACAAATCTTAATTGAGTCTAAATATAAGTTATACAATTATAAAGTTATTAAAAAGTATAAATTACTTTGATGCATCTATATCGGCAGTTGTGTTTCACCCAAAATTTACATATTTTTGTCACCATGTCAAATTTATCCATTTTAGATGTAATATTGTTGTAAATAGCATTCATACAAAAATAATCATTGTCACATTTTTTATCACCTTGCCCAGTGTCCATCACAAGTACCATAATTAAACATAGCATTGTCGTTACAATTAATGTCATAATTACACAAACTTTTTAAAATAGTCTTGTACTTAAAGAGGATAATAAAATAATTATAAATACTCAATCTCAAGTAAAAATGGCATATAATAATTGCTTTGTTATTATTTAATTATTATTGTGATAGCAATTATCTGTAAAGTACATAATATATTATATTTATTGTTGATAACTTATCAATGCTAAGTAAATGAATTTAACCGTCTATTTATATGGCTAAATTGCCGACGGCGATTATATCGTGGCTCATATATCGTCCAGTAATTTAATACATTTAATTTACATGAGTGAGAGGGCAGCATAAGCGAGAAAGCTATGCTATGCCTAAAAATCACACCAATTATATGGGTGACGGAAATCGTCCAAATTATTAACACAGTATATGCTATGCATTAGTGCTATGTGTGGAGTGTATGAGTGGAGTGTATGTAGGGTGACCAGACGTCCTCCGTTACGGAGGATTGTCCTCCATTTGACCATTTTGGGTACCGTCCTCCGGACACCCTGCGGAGGACTATACTTTGTCCTCCGTTAGGGTTTTTAGGAATATATTACGTTAAAATATTATCTAACAAACATATTTTCTTAGTTTCTATTATTTCTTAAAAACATTTCACCGTTCAATAAATTAAAACGTATTCTTTATGCTATAACTATATTTTAGATAAATACATTTAATATAAATTTGTAATTTATGTACTTCTTAAAATAGGTTTGATTTCAGTTCATTTTTTCTAAAATTTGTATTATCGTCCATGATGACAGTTTAAAGCTATAATAAAGTAGACCGTACCACATATACTATAAAATTAGCATTTCTAACAAAAAACATAGTGTCCTCCGTGCGTCCTCCGCTAAATATTCAATTTTTAGTTAAAGTCCTCCAATTTCCCAAAAATTTCTGGTCACCCTAAGTGTATGTGTTTGCATAGGGCATGCGTTGTAAATGGTTTGTTTTGTTATCATTGTATTCTTAGAGGAAATTGCCCATAAATTATGTGATCTATAATCTTGACCCCATATTCCTATTTAAATAGGAATATGGGGTTATATCTAAACGTCATTTATTGACACATTACAAAGACAAAGTTACTAAAGTTATTAAAACGAATATAAAAACCAAATACTTTACAATTATATAATTAGCAAATTATCTCTTGTAGTGATTAAAATTATAGTTTATTTAAGTTATAAAGTAATATAAGTTACATTAAATGCAGTTATTATTTATTTAATATTCAGACAAACAATTAATTGCATAACTATTTATATTGAGCTAAATATTAAAAATACCAAAATGAATAATTTTATTCATTATCATTATAATCTGCTTGTTTGCAATCAGAGCAATAGTAAACAACATGTGTTTTGCATAAAAGCTTTTCGCAACCTTCACATCTAATTGATGCCCGTTTGTTAGCACTTCGCGGGCAAACATCACACCGGGTATTGTTTTTGTGATGTTTGATTGGTTGCTGAGAAACTGATGGCATTTCGTCCACTTCATCACTCGAAACATTGAACACATTTTCAATCAATTTTCGCAAATCGTGTGAAAGATTTGTTTGATTCAGTCTTTGTGTTGCCAAAGGCTTAACTAAGTCAAACCCCAATTGTTTAATAAATTCTCGTCTGTGTGTGGATTTCTTGTCGTTAGGATAATAAAACTTATATATAATGTAACAATTGATTGCTGCGATATCTATAATATCGTAAAACAAAGCCATAGGCCATCTACG